GCGTTTTGCAGGGAAGTCATACACTAAGTTATCCATGATCATGGGTGACATTTTGAAGAGCTCCGAAACCGCTATGAGTTGCTATGCACGCGCTGATCAGTTCTACTGGAGGATAATCACGTGCCACTCTTGTCCTTGATGCGCACCTAAAGTACTTCTCCACCATCCTATGTTCGTTCATATTAAGAGGGATTCCGCTTGAACTTTTGGCTGGCTAGACTCAATTCAGCTTCTTCGAACCGGATCACTAGTCGACTACTGCACTCGTACAACGGAACGCACGCACTGAACAGTTCTATGGGAGGAGAATCATGTGCCACCCTTGCCCTTGATGCGCATCTAAAGTACTTTTCCACCATCTATGTTCGTTCATATTAAGGGGGATTCCGCTTGAACTTTTGGCTGGCTAGACTCAATTCAGCTTCTCCGAACAGGATCAATAATCGACTACTGCCCTCGTACAACGAAGCAGTGTAGTACACTCGTGGTAGTGTAATACACCCGGTCTCTTACTGACCTCAAAAAGTGAGATTCATTGGCAAGTAAAGCTCAAGGTTATTTCGCAGACCGCCTTAGAAGTAAACAAAAAGCGTATCAGCAGTAAACAGTTATGCAATATCGATGCTTTGCTGCCTTGCAACCACCATCAGTCGAGTGTAGACCAAGGATACTGCGAGGATCGCCCGGTCCCGTACGCAGGCTTGAACCCGCTTCCTCGGGATAACAATGCAGGTGGCCGGCAGACTCCTTAGAAGTAATATTTTCACGGTCTACATAACCCATCCACCAGTTAACAATTACACAAACGTACGTGACTACCACGATTACCGATATTCTCATTCTCACGCGGAATTTCGATATCGATCGGTCCCAGTGGTTGGGTGTTTCGCAGGTGTGATGACCACTAATTACACAATTCCCCCCCAAAAACTATATTTCTTCCAACTACATAGAATGAACCTTATTACCGACAGATGTTAGAACAGTTCTTAACTCTTCCAGGTATGCATAGGATGGACACATTTCGCTTGACGGAAGTTAGCAAGACCACCTTTAGTTCTCCTCCTCATTTTCCAGCAGAAAATCTATGGAACTCAAGATGGCCAGACACCAAATGCATACAATCATGAAATCATCACGTTTAATAAGCACGTTAGCTAGGATTGAAAAATACCTCAGATATTGTACCGCAAAAAGTGAGACGGGAAGAAAGCGACTACACAGACACATCAGCTGTGCAACCAGTAACGGATGATTATCGTTGTGGAGAGCTAGAAGCCAACTGTTGTGCTGCACAATAGAAGTTATATTATGCAGCGATTCACCTTCGCTATTGACCTCGATCATCAACCATGACTTCCGGGGTCTCCAAGGTGCGACATTGTATCTAAAATCGCAAGCAGGCAGTCTAGTACAACCGATCTAAGCCAAGTGTTTCCTCATTTTTATCATGCCGCTTCTCCAAATCGTAGGTTGCCCACCGCGTCGTTTCCTCCGGCGCTGTTCAGTAACCGCGAACAACCTACGATGTGGAAGACAATGTACGGGCTTGCGTAATACGCGTCCAAGCCACCGCGGCTGAAACAGCGAGACGATCTCGAGAGAGTTACTGTCTCGTCCCAAGACACCCTGTCTAACTTTCACGCTAGCTACAGGGCGTAGCCAACACATGTGGACAGTGGACAGAAGCAGCAATATCCAAGGACAGAGTCGGAGCAATTCAACGCTACGAACAAGCCTTGTTTCGCAATTACACAACACAACAATGCGCTCAGTCACAAAATATACCCGCCAAAATACCGAAACATGGAGTGCATACCTGGCACCGCGTAAATTTTGTTTAAGAGTGATGCGCAGGAACAATGTGGTGCATCAGCAAGAGTTACTTAGGCAATTCTGCGCGAACCAAAAGCCTTTATCCACGCACGTTAATCGAATTCGTATACGGTGGCGCGGAATCCCAGTGTTGGTTTCGGCTGACATGTACATGCGAGCAGTAATGAAAGCAACCGATCACTTACGGTTTCACTTCTCACATACGTTCCAGAGGATAAAAAACCGGATACTCTCCTCGTTTCTATTATTTTACAGTCAGATTTATCAAACTGCATCTTCACTGCAAAAGCTGTGTTGAACAAGTTTTTATCTCTGCGTACCCCAGCTCTCCTAGAGTAGATACTATTTGATCGAAGTCTACGCAGCAGCAGTCAGTTATCTGGCAGAACCACTGTACATTTTCTATCAGCGCTGTCGATAGGAAAACAAATTTCCACCACGATAGAAGGGAAGGGATATCACTGCTTTTTATCAGGGATGTAGTCTCAATGGTCCTAACAATTATCGTCCGATGACATTGTTTTGTGTACTTTGCAAAGCTATGGAACCAGTCATCGCCGTTGAACCACCGCGGTATGTAAAAAACTATGACAATATAGCCTCGGAGCAACATGGTTTCGACAAAAACCCCTTATGTATTACTAACCTGTTAATTGTACACGGCAGCTGAACCGAAGAAGTTGACGGTAGAAAGAGAGTCGATGTCATCTGCCTGGATTTTTTAAAGGCGTTTCATCGGGTAGACTATCGAACTCTCCTGCACAGTCTTCGGAACTATAGCATCGGCGACACAATCCTGGGTTGGATAGGCGCATTTCTACATGAAGGTTGGTTGGAAGTGAGAGTCTAAAAATAACTGCCCGATGACCTTGAGATAGAGCGCACTGTTCCACAGCGCTCGGTGCCAGGGGCTCGTATTCTTGGTCTTCGCAAACCATATAGCGAGATCAGTTGATCCGATTTTCTATTTCTCACAAATGATATTAAGATATGATTAAACGTCGATGCAAGCGAACATGTTTTCAATAATTTCTCTTCAGGCTTGTACAATTATATGTGGGGAAAACAAAATCTTTGTAACAACGTAGAGGTGGGTAAGACAAATTCAGTTCGCAGTCACTGATCATGCACAATCCCTATCCGTTAGGTCACAAATGCGGTGTACACTCCATTTCGTGAGCCGGATGTCGCAGTTCGGGTGGGCCAAGGCAGTTTTAACCTCTGAACGACATGGCAAGCGATCACAAGACCGGACGACTACGAAGGGCTCCATGGCGATCTTGATGCGATTTCGGGCCGGTCCCTTCAGCATGTCTCACCATTCGATGTAACCAAAGTTGCAGTGTTGTTGTTCATAGCTTAGGGCGCACTAATTGCAGACCAATCCCCAGAAACGTAACTTAGGTGTGGTTGTACAGAGGAACCTTAACTATTAAAAACAGCTTGGGGTAACTTCGAGGAGAGGCAACCAGCACGTTGGGCTGAAACGAAGGGCATTCTGCAGTTTTAACCCATCAATCTCCCTAATAATGCGAAACTCCTTGGTGCGCCCTCACGTTGAATACGCCATCCAAGCTTAGCAATTCTGGTTGAGACGTGAGCTGGAGGGGCTAGAGACACCACAACGCAGGACAACAAAGAACGTCACGGGGCTATGCAATCTGTCCTATCAACAATCGCTGATGTCACTGGGAGTTTCCGGAGGATGCTACCGAAGGCTCCGAGGCTATCTCATCTTAGTGTACCAAATATTGAGTGGCCCTAATCACGTATACCGGCACCTGCTGAGACTCAGATATAATATCAACATCAGAGGTAACCGCCTGAAACTGAGTTAATAAACCGTCTAGAAGGCCGATGGAATTACTTTTCGCCTCGGACTTGCCTACCTTGGAATTCCCTCCCAAACCCAGTTGTTTTCTCCCCTAATTTGGATATTTTCAAAAAGCTCCCACCGCTTCTTACCTAAATTATGCTACCGTGGATCAACATAGTCACGCTTTCATACAAGCTTTATTTATCACATGGACCCAAGGAAGCGGTACGTTAGCAATCAACCATATTTTTATTTGTATCACAGGATAAGACAGCTATCAGTGCACCCCAAGTTGTTGTATATGCTTGCATTCAACTCATATTTTATGGTTTCGGTAATTTTTAACTCATTTACTTAGAGGACACTTAAATAAATGACGCACATCTTTTTATTTTTTAGCTTTCGCACCAACCACCTCATGGGGATCGTCCTTATTCATTGTTCTGATGAGGCAAAAGCATAAAACTGCGGGTTTAATCGTACATGTAGCAGCCTGGAAATTCCCCCGCTTGGCGTGTGTGTATTGTGTCGAATACTAAATAAAGTTACTCGTTTATTGAAAATTCAATTAGCTTGCGTTATCTAAGCGTGCCATTTATCTATACACAGACGACGCCATCTTTGGATCCTCCGCCGTTCCATCGTGCGATAATCAGATATCCTTCGCTAGTTAGTGTCACATTTCTAGCCAATACACGGGAACATTTTGTTCCGCCTCAATAGACTTTCCTTCCGTTACTTCTACCGACGCTTCTTTTTAACTACCGGTAACAATAATCTCCAGTAACGAAGTGGATACGGTGAGTATAATATATCAGCCGACCACTTCCGGTAAAGATAGTCAAATGGGGGTTAACTTTCCTCTGCATAACAACAGTATGCACCAATACACCGAAAATTTTTCACGTTTTCACAGTCACTCACCCAAGCAAATGTATGTCAACTATTTTAACGGCTCACCCTACTCATAAGTACATCAAAATTAGGAACAGTTGTGATTCTTCCCTGATCTGATGAACCAGTTACACGGAAACTGCTATAAAATGCTAAACTGAGTGTCATGCTTTTCCGGTGGCCTACTAATTTCATAACCAGCTCCGACTGTTCCACATACAGCTCAGAACAGTGTTTTAGACAGTTCTCAACTTTTTATTCTCTAAAATGTATAGACCCGAAAGTCGTTAAACGAGATACTACTTTCATTAATACTGAACCGCGTTTAATTAAAGCGCATCTGATTAACAAATTTCTTTTGTAAAATTTCCATGGCTTTATATTTACATTTGTCTTCATACTAGTTTATGCGCCAACTTAAGTGTTACGCCTCATTGGCTCTGTGTTTCCAACAAGGTACATCTCATCTTTCAAGAATGAAGTGGTGAAAGAAGCTAAGAAGAACCGGCATTTATGTAAGACAATGGGACCGGCAAAAGTAACGGTCCCAAGGCAGGACTCGTTTCTACGAAAGCATCATCGTGACGCGGTCGACACAGGCGTGTTACGAAACCGATCGAATTCCCTAGATGCAACACAAAAAAGTACGTTACAAAAAAGAAAACAAATTCATTTTCCTAGTATTGTATAGAGATTGCTGCTATGGAGAAAGAAAAGCGGCGTTACCCCCTAATACGCGTTTGGCAAAGGATTATACTACTACTTCCAGAAATTATGTGAAATTTAACAAGAGAGCGGCTCAAGATCTAGTACCTCGGAAACCCAAGAAATATATTGTGGACACGCGAAACGGAGAAAAACAGTGTTTAGACAACTCTGGTTTGACCATTTATCATGTCCTGAGGAAGGTATACAGTTTAGTCGTTTGCTAATCCTGTGTATTTTACAGGAATTCGGTGAAGTACCTCAATATCTGCGAAAAAGGAAGGAAGCGGTTGAGCAAGCACTTCAAAAATACAATGAATATGTGAAGGAATTGCAAGAGAAAAATGCTTTTTATCAAATCCGAGAGCAGGAAAAAGAGGTAGTACAAATCCTTCGCAGTTCATACATATTTTCTAGTGTCTGCTTTCTGGTTTAAAGCGACGATGGCGGAAGCTTTTTCAGCAGTATCAGTCTTTGCCTGTAATGATGGATACCCTTCCAAAAATACAAGTGAAGTTGTGTCTGGAGAAGGTGTTGGCTGATTTGGAGAAGGACATTGAGCTCATTGAAAATTTCCGAACAATTTACGTTTCGCATTAAACACAGTGTAGCCGGAGTATCAACTAAGTAAATCATGAACAATGAACCAAATTCGTTTTAGCTATTTTGTTTTTTGCAGTTCTTAACATCGCCCGTTGTTTTGCGCTCATTTGTGCTATACATCCTTATCTCATGTGCTTTAGCTGTCTCTGACTTCTAGCTAATTCTTTGGCGTCCATTTTCCGAAACTGCTTCAGATTCTGGTTTCTCATCCGTTAGAATGTTTGCTCACACGAGGTCGACATAGGCACGTTCAGGGAATACACACCATCTATACATCTCTTTGTCCATCTTGCAGTTCGGATGTGCGTGTATTTCCTCGGGAAGTTCACCGACTACCGTAATGCAATACACTTATTTATGTGCTTAACCACTTTGAGAACTACGCGATTCATTTGTCTTCCTGACAATCAGCAATACTGGGAGATAGCAGTTAGTCTAACTGGAAGCGAGAAATGAGGATCAAAACGGAAAGCTATGTTTCATCTGCTCCAAACAATGAACCATGACTCCAACAACGTTACCCAAGGAATGTCTACAACAATAACAATAACACTGGCTAGTTAGTTTTAAGCAAATGGGAGTTCTCAACATTAGACGCAGCTGCACAGGCGTAAACTTTTGAAAAATGCGTAAGGTGGGTGTTTTACAAGTTTGGGACTCCTCAGCCCTGCATGTTCCTTCATAAACTTCAGATCAGAGGCCAGATATATACGTACCAGTAGCTTAAGCAACTTGTTTCCGGCATTGGTACTTGCCTCAGCATTTGTATGTAAGGTGATAGCTTGGAATTCTCACCTAACGCAGAGAATAATGCAAAAAATCAAGTATCTTGGATAAAACAGCACGTGCTTGACAAGTTCCGTTGGACGGCTGGATTGAGAACTGAAACCAAAAAGTAGAGTTGCGTCGTCTTTAAAGCTTCTTTGGAGCAAATGCGCTGCTGAATAACCGTGGTGCAAGATGAAAACTGAATGCAAGCATACAGGACAACGTGCAAACGGTTATATAGCTGGATTATTAGGTGAGAAAAATAAAAAGCTAGAATGCTAACTCATCTACCGCCTTCTTGGGTTTATGTGACACACATACATCATGCATGTGTGCATGATTATCGTTATCCACAGTAGCACAGCTCAGGGGAAAGAGACAACTAAGTTTAAGATAATTTTAAGGTTAACAAACGTACTCAGAAAAATAATTCTGTCAGTATTCTAGACGGTTGTACTGTGCATTCGGTTTCAGGCGGTTACTTCTGAGGTTGGTGTTGTTGTCAAGCCTTAGCAAATGGCTGCATATTTGCTTAGAGGCACCCGTTATTCCGTAGCATAGGGCGAGATCAGCGTGTAGTTGCCGTTAGCGTCTACTGAAAACTCGCAGTAACCTCATCCTTTGCTGGTAAGGCAGATTGTGTATAGCTGATTTGCTTGCTGTTATTTGAATGCTTCTGTAGTTCAATCCGTTGCACGTCGAAATTCTGGGTTCCGCTTCGTGGCGAGCTGCCTTGTTTCGACTGCGGAATACTCGTGCGTTGAAAGCTTTGTAGTCGTCCCGTTTCCTCTGATGTTTCTATTTGTGTAATAGCTTCATAGATCATTTCTGGATTTTGACTTACTGAATCTCCTGTTATATCTAACTATCTTAGGACATCCAGGTGTGCAGTGGATTTCTTCAGGAAACTGTGGGTTCACACAACTACTGCGATTTCAACCAATCATTATGCAGCCTACTTTTGTTCTGGTTAAATTCTCCACCCATGAAATAGAAGACAACACTTAAGTTATGAGTCTTTCAGTGGTCTGTAGTTGTCGTGTGGGTGGGGACAACAGCCTGGGTACTTTCACATGGTCGGGGCTTCAAATGCGGCTGTGGGCCTGGTTGCTTGCTTTAGTGTCTCTGAATATACCCCATAAATCATTTGCATAGGCATCTCCATCATGGTATCTGACTTCACCTGTGGACCGTGTGTGGAAGAAATATACCCAAACAGCATTCTCCATTGCACTGAGATTGTGATCTCTAATGGGCAGCTGTTGTGCGATCCTTTTTCCAACAAGAGTCCTCAGTGCTCTCCCTATCCGTTTTGTCATGTGATGCACGCAGTTAGTCTTGACAATAGACAATCCTATTCCATACACTTCCTACTCAACGACTCAAACATGGGCATTGACATCATAATTCTCCAGCATTTCAGTGTCATGAGAAGTGTGGATGGCTTCTGCTCGTGCCCAGCAAAGCTGTACCCACGGACGCCGCGGATTTTTGGATCAACGTGTGCTGGATACTACTTTTGCCTCAGATTACTGTGTTAGCAGCGTTTTATCTGTGTGAATTGTGCACCATTATTCTTCTTTTGGCGTATTTTCCAAGCGGTGCGAATTTGGGAGCTATTCTTTGGCTAATTCCGGAGATATCACTGATTTGCCATACTGCCATCTCTGTCCACCATCTTGGATTTGCTCTAGCTTGTGATGCCGTCTCAAGCTACTTGTGGTTCGTGTTCGAAAGTTGTGGGAAATAAGGCTCATGCACTTCGATGCTTCAGCTGTGATGTTTTGTTCCATATTTCGTGCATTGGCTTATCCGTTGACGTGTTTCGAAAATCGCTCGACATCCGACATCGGTTTTTTCAAGTTATATGTGATAAATGTCGCGGTACAAGACATCAGAATACGCAGCGACCGCAAACAACTACGGGAAAATCTCTCTTTCAGATAGAAACAAACCGTTCACCATGTGGGATCAAACGCCCTCGTGAAAGTACCTCTGTCACCTCGCCTTCTATTGTCTCTCCGCGATCTGCACCACCACCAGCGTCTTCGACTCCGGCCGAACCCCAGGTTCAATGTTTCCCACCGATGGAAGACTCAGACTCAGAAGCTACGAAATGCCGCTTCACTGATCGGTCCGTGAATTTCTCAGAGCCTGTCTGTGAACTTCTGAACACCGAGGATCCATGGACCACTCAAAAGCGCAAGGGCCCACGTAATCGAGTTCAGACGTCACCTGCTGATAAACAACAACCCAATCAGTTAAGCGCCTCTAGTTCTGCTCCCACAGGTTCATCACTGATTTCGCTGAGGCGTCATAATCTCATGGTCTTCCACGTACCGGAGTCAAAAGATGAAAACCCTCAGATACGTTATGATCACGATGTTGAGTTCCTCCAGGGGCTCATCGATAGACTCTTGGATGTGGGCGAGGACAGTGTGACGATTAAACAAGTAATCCGACTTGGCCAGAAAACTAACCAGTCATGTCGACCTCTGAGGATCACTTTTGCAAATCCTACAATGCCGCAGCTCATACTGTCTCGTCTGTCAAGGCTGAAAGACATAAAAGTTCACATCCGCCGAGATTTGGAAGCCGAGGACAGGGATCGTTTGAAGACTGCGGTCATTGAGCTCAAACGCCGTACAGAGAAAGGTGAGACTGACTTACAAGTTGTAACTTTTCGGGTGATCAAGAAGGGTGTACGAACCCGTATCAACCGGTTTCTCAACCTCCAGGCACGTCCTGCAGTACCTCCCAGGATCTCCGTGTCGCATTCGCCAACGTTAGCAGCCTAATGAACAAACGTGACGAACTGTGCCGCTTCGCTGTCTCGGAGCGGCAGGACATTTTAGGACTTGCAGAGACATGGCTGAATTCCGACATCATACCCCAAGAAGTCGTGTTGTCAGGATACTCTTGTTTCCGATGTGACCGAAAATCAAAGGCTCACGGTGGTGTTCTGTTGTACATAAAATCGTCACTATCTGGCAAACTTACCAGTACCTATCGGAGCGAGGATAGTTTAAGCGAGCAATTGTGGTGCACAATCCGTCTCAGGCGCGCAGAACTAATTGTGGGGGTTGTCTACCGGAGCCCATTAAACCGTTGCTGCGATTGGATACCACATGTACAGAAGCACATGAGCCTGTTGGGCGGAACCTAGGATACTAGTCGGTAAGCAATGACACGTAAGACGTGTCAAATACGACAGTATAGAAGTCGGAGGAGACTGAACCCAACGTGTATTGTGCAGGCTACAAGAATAGGAAGCGAATCAGACAGAGCGAGAAACGTGCAGTGAGGTACTCACCAAAACGGTTTGTCACAACGGATGTGCAGTCAGTTAAACAAATGGACGTTTCGAAGGTTAAAACAACCATAAAATCCAATGTTACAAGATACTGAAAGAGCATGTTTTCTGTTGCACTACAAGGGTCTCCCCCTAGAAGGCTGAAGGATGGAAGCCTTCGATGGAGCTGTTAGTGGGGGGAACGGAAGGTGAGGGTGGATGCGAATGTTTGCAGGGGCTTGAGAATAGCTTCCAAATTGGGGTGTAACAGATTTCGCTGGGTCGAGGCTTTTGTTAGTTTTATTTATGTCGATCTTGTGGACCAGGGTGCATCATCGGTGGGCCGTCGGGGCGGGCTGGTCGGACTGCAAAAAAACTGGCTAGTCCAGAAAAAAGGCCGACAGGACCTTCCCTTTGCTGCAGACCCGACGGTGCGCTTGGGAGGTGTCACTCCCCCCACCGCACTTTAGTCCACGGTCCTCGTCCCACGAAGAAATGCAGGCATCCTCGTCGGCAATGCCTAGGTGGCGTTTGGGGACCAATCCGTTCGTGGGTGTCTGCGGTCGAGGGCGACTGTCTGTTCCTTGGGTGAGGAAGGGGGCTGTGGGACTGCTGGCGAGTCACTCCAGGGTTGCGTTGAGCCGGTTGGCGAGTCACTTGAGGGTTGCCTGGGCAGTTCCGGCGGTGGAGTTTCTGGAAGGTAGAACTCAGAGGGGGTTGGCATGGGTCTGGGAAGTGGCTTGACGCCGGAGAGGGATCATGGCATGTATGATAAAAGCAAATACGCTTTATAGGTTTTTCAAAATGGTTTGGGATTTTTGTCGATTTTGCAGAACGTTTGTGGGTGAGACGCAGGATAACCATTAAAGACGAAAAAGGCGTGTTAATGGAAATAGAAAACGCTTACAAAATCGGAAAAACGGACCGGACGTTTGACTTGTCTACCGCGTCGGTCGGTTGCCTGGGGTTGCGGCGGGATAGGTTGCGGATCAAGGGGTACGGAGGGATCCGGGTTATCCAGTGCTCGGGAAGTCACCACAGGTGCGGGTGCTTGTGAGAGAGCATCAGGATGAGCTGCAAGTGGCTCGTCAAAGGAAGCCACTTTGAGTCGGTCGATGGACACCGTTGTTCGATGACCATTCTGGTCTATAGTAAAATGTTTCGGAGTCCGTTGCAGAACTCTGAAAGGGCCAGTGTAGGGACTCACAGTCTGTGTGTTCTGCTGCACTACAAGCCGCCCTCAGTTCTTACTGATGGGGGATCTAAATTTACCTAAGATAATTTGGCCAGATGTTCGACTTCATCCCGG